TCAAACTTAGCAGAAATAAAAGGCCAAAGACTGGACTTCAGCAACTGAGCATTGACATTTGTTTTAATTTAAATGAACACACATATTTTTACATTACATTTTTGACTAGTTTCTCTTTCATCTTGTTTGTTGCATCAAATAAAGAAAATGCTTCATTTAACCTATTCAGAGAACTTAAGATTAAATCACTTTTTCTACACCTGAAGACAAACAAAGAACAAAAGAGACTTGACGATCGTTTTGACAAGAAATTGAAATGCTGGCAGTGATTGGAAAATGGGAAACCTTTCTTTGCATTGGTTTATGTCGGCAACTGGGAATGTAGACCATCTTGCTCTTTTTTTTTTTCCACATTCAGCTTTTGTCCATAAAGGATTCTAACATACGCTGGCCATTTGTGATGCAAGTTGTTCCTATCAGAAATCGATAACCTTTTAATGAAAAAAAAAGAAAAGTTGCTCAAAAAGAATTTTGACATACAAGAAAAATGGCAAAATGTTATTCTACAACTGTTTTCTTAAATCCAATAGCTTTGAAAGATGAAATTTAAACTAATTATCTAGACTTCATTTTTAGAAATATACAACTTCAAAGAAAAAGCCTTAGTAAGTCTTTATCATTTTTGAAAGGATGTCACATGTAATGTGTCAATTATGAATCAGGTTTCTTTAGGTGAAATAAATATCAGGAAAGCAGCCACACTATTTTTACATTGAGTCTCTTCAAATTTTGGTGAACATGAAACATATGAAGGAAAAATGAATATTTTGGTTAGTGACCAAATGTTTTTACAAAAATTTTTCATGAAAAATAAAACATTGAATCTTTTAATCCTATTTGAGAACAAAATGCCATAATTAAACTTTCTTTTGAAAAGTAAAAAAATAATAATAATCAGTTCAGTTTGATTAGATGTTTCCTTATGAAAAAAAAATGTAAATCTCTGCTAGATGTAGTTAAGAAACAAACCTTTTTCTCTGCCTAAAATTCGAAGAGCTGCTATCTCTGAAAATGTACAACCTCCAAGAAAAAATACCATCACAACTCTTGCTGCTGGGTAATCAGGACGACTGCCTGGTTTACCTAGAAAGCATCAACAAGTGGAAAAGAAAACTGAAATGGCCGAAGGGAAAACAATTGCAATTCTTTTGAAGCAGAAATTAAAAAAAAATCTCTTCAGGGTTAATTACAGGAGACAGGTTTTTTTGGGGGGTTTTTAACCTTTCCTGTTTGCATATGAGTGAATTAATTAAAACATTATTTTATACATATGAGTGAATGTAGGTAAATGAAAGGCTATAAGATGTATACAAAAGTTTTTGTTTAAATGCTTTTGCTTTCTTTTAGCCACTATCAAGATTCATTTAACAACATTTTTTCTTCTTCTAATGGCAGCATTATAGAAAAATCAACATGCAACTCAAATTCTTCCTTGGGTTGACTATATTAATCAGTTAATAAATACAATAAGCATCCTAAGTCCACTAAGGTCTTTATTTTAATAATAATAATTTGTTGTGAATTATAATATTTATTATAATGTTTTATTTAGTGAAATTTATGTGTATGAGTGTATTTAGGAAAAACCTAATTATATTGGATGGACTCATTAGGCCAAGGGAGTGGTGGTTCACCCTTAGTTGTTTATAAAAGATGGGCACTTGGACTAATCAACAGTCCTAGCAAATAGTCCCTATCTGATGACTGTGCTGCTCTAGTGGAAGCAAGTTGACAACTACTTATTGTGCTGCAGAAACTAAATACATAAGAATAATGGTTTCAAATTTGAATTTTCTTAATCAAAATCTCAAAAGTGCTAAATCAAAAAATACAGACCAGTCTACAGAAAAGGTTAAGTGAAACAAGCATTAAAAATCATAAATCTATGAAAATGGTATTAGTCAGATGATTACTGTTATACTACTTTAAGATCCAGATCTCTTTCTGATTCACAAATACATTTCACCAGACATGTCAGCCAGATGTGAGTGATAAGAAAGCAAAACCCCAAAATACAAAATGTTGTCTTCCATACAGGTCCCTCCAACCATCACATCTGGTTCACAAAGCAATTCCCCACAAAAATTAAAAATGTAATAGCCAATCATGAACATCTCACTTCTGACACCAGTTGTTATAACGAGTGTTTGGTTGCAAAGGAAGGAACAAAAAAAGGATTAAGATTCAACAATGTGTATTTGTCAAAATTCAGAATATGTACATAGTTGTATGAAAAGTGGCAAAAAATTGTTCAAATGTGGTTCTTTAATTGCCATTAGTAAGAAAAGCAATTAGGCATGAGGGCAGGAGTTGACTGATATCCTAGGGTGGTTGGCCAAGGTCACAGTTGGTGTCAAGAGAGAGGTCGGTGGTGAGGTGTCCAATGATCTAGATTTTGTATGACTGGACCGAAGTGTTGAAGCCAAACTGTTGTCAGCAATGAATCCTTTTTTTTTTTTTTTTGTTCCTTCCTTTGCAACAAAACGCTTGTTATAACATTACAATGGTCATATATGCATCATCAAATAAATAAACAGTTTGAGGTGAATATTAGCGTAGCATTGTACAAGGTTTTAATTGAAAAAAGGCAATTCTGTATGACAGAATTTTGACTGCAGTCAAAGTTTAGCAAGTCCTGCTGATTTCAATTTTGTAATTTTCACATCTTTAAGGCTGATAAATATCTGAAGTTTAAGTAAATCTTTGGCATTCCAAGAATGGTATCTGACTTTCATATGTCTCAAAGGTCTAAATTGTTAATTCATTGAAATATATTCTGATGCCAATTGATGCCAATACTATGTAATTAAGCTGAATCTCAAAAATCATTACATCTTAAACAACAACTTATCAAAAAAAAAAAATGTTAGGAGACAAAACAAATTACAAACCTTTGGGGATACGCGATCGAATACTACAGAATGTTTCTCCTGGTAATAATTTTGTAACATCTTCAAGACCAGATAATCCATCCCTATTTAAAATCTGAAAAAAAAAAAAAAAAATTTGAAAATATTAAGCACAGATTTAATTATTTTTAAATGTGAAAAGTTAAAAAGAATTATCCATAATTTTTATGATGGACAAAAGTGCTAGTGTTGTATCCAACTTAACTGTCATTCCTGTGAGAAAATATAGCTCAAAATCTTAGTCAATTAGTATTAACTAAGTACAATAGTAACTAGAACACATTAAACAGAACTTTAACTTGTGAGGTTGGAAGAATTCTGCTTCTTCTATCAGAATGTATTAATCCATCACATTTAACAATGTGTGCTTTTGTGTTTCTATAAATTTTCAGCTCAAGTATTTCAAATATCTGAAGAAAAGGAACTAGTCTTATGTGTGTGTGTGTATATATATATATATATATATATATATATATATATAATAATAGGAAAATGGGTAAATTTGCTTTTTAACACCCGTGCTAAAAAAGGGGACAAATTAAAAAAATAATAATAATACAATAAACCCGGTTAGGTGTTAGGGTTAGGTTTGTGTTTGTTTTGTGTAGAAAAGGGGACAAATTAAAAAAAAAATTAAATAATACAATCAACCCTTCTACTTTACCAAGTTTGTGCATTAATTTTTGTTCTATTTTCAATTTTAAAATATAAAAAAATGCTTTATTTTTATTATTTAATTTGTTCTTTTAATTTGTCATTGCTATTCTACACAGAAAAAAATTTTATTGTATTATTTAATTTGTTTTTGTTTAAAGTGTCCTGTTATAAATAAGACACTTATCAAAAAGAAAAAAATTATGATAATGCGTAGTGATTTCAAAAACAGATATAGCTGTAAAAGAAATAAATAGGCCAAATTTTTTTATTGCACCACCGGAAATCTTGAATAGTAGTCCAGGCAGAATGTATTAAAACAATGCCTGTAATGGAGGATGAATTACAAACAAGAAGTCTGATTTTTTCTTGCCAATAACTCCAAAACAGCAGGTTTCTTCATAATTTAATTGTTAATTCGAGTTCAGCATGTACATTTACATGGAATTATGATGATTTGGGAAAATTTTAAGAGATATTTAGCGCGGATGTTAAAAAGCAAATTTACCGGAAAATGAATAACAAGATAGAAAATTGTGGTGTGATATGTTTTGTTGTGAGAAGAAACTTCTTCAAGCAAAATAATGTTTTTCCTGATGGAATCAATCTTATGTATGAAAAAGGAAAGAAATGAAAAGAGAAATACAACAAATGCTGGTTACAATTTACATCACAAGATAGAGAGAAGCTCTACATTTAAATTTAAGTGTTCAGCCTCTCTATATCTTTAATGTTACAATGTAAAGTAACTGGCATTGATTGCATTTCTCCATGCCCTATTTTTTTTGTCACACTCCCATTTTTATATATCAGATTGATTCCATCAATAAAAACCTATCTGAAGATGTTTGTTCTCAGAATGAAACATGTCACTACAATTTTCCATCTTGTCATTCATTGCCCCCTCCCATAGAATTTAAAGACTTACACAGTAAATTTTTCAACTCAGAAATGATTCTTACCATTTTTCTTTCAAGATATCAATTCTTGAAACACTTTATTAACTTTTACATTTGAAGCATTTTTAACTGATTTTGGCTCATTTTTCTAACTGATTTTTCTTTTATAATTATATATGAAATAAAAACTGATTTTCTGTTTTTGTATGATTTTTTTAAAATTTAAGAATGTTTTTAATTTGGAAAAATTATTGTGAAAACTCTCATTAAAATAAATCATCTACTTTGGAAATAAGGCTCAAAATTTTCAGATTGTATCAAATATCCTGAATAACATTCAGCCCAATTTGTATTCTGAAATTAATTGTAAATATAAAAATATTTACAAGAGTGAAATTCAACATGAAAGTGCAACAGTAAAGAAGTGTAATAATCAAAATGGAAACCACTTACTTCTTCCACAAGTCGACACGAAAGAGGTGAATATGCTCCACTGAAGACATATGACATATCACGTGGACTTTTCAAATTTATTTCTTCAGCTGATTTTGGAATCTAACAAAGAAAAAAAAATCAATCAAGTAGCTTTCAAGAAAAACATTTCTTGACGATTTATAAGTAAATATTTTTATAATAAAATGAAGAGTAAAAAAAGACAGTCAAATGTTTTTTCAGATACTTATAAAAGTTTCACATGCAGAGTACTAAGGCTTGTCAAGCATTGAATCTATACAAATTATGGAAAGTTCTTGGCCTGATGCTTTATATTAGCATTTTTCTCTTTAAATAAGTGAGTAGAATAATCCAAAAGCAATTCAAAGTGATAGATCCAGTTACTTCTACATAGAAAACAAAGATGGAAATATAACATTAAAACTAAATAGTAAGGAAAATTCAGCAGACACTAAGACTGACCAAGTTAAGTTTTTTGACTAAAGTTTGGAATGTGTTTCTCTTGGCCATGGCTGCAGCAAGATTTCCTAAAGGTTTTGTCAGGACAGCTTCCTGTTCTGTCAAGATGTGAAGTTTCCGTAAATTATGTAAGGATAACATCTTTTCAAATCCATAACTCTACAAAGAAAAAAGAAAGGAAAAACAATTTGGGTACAAAACACTGAAATAGAACTTCCAAATAACCATGGGGATAAATTTAAAAAAAAAAAAAAAAATCAAAAATAATTTAAAAACTTAGAAGCACTCTTTTCCCCAAATTATATAGTGCCACACAAAAGTTTACAACACATTACAAAAAAATGTTTCTTTAGGTATTTCTAACACAGATTAATGAAACTTTTACTGCTAATAATACATATGTTTAAGCCTTTAATCAATCAGATTTAAAAAAATAATCAATAAAAATATCCCACAAAGAAAAACCAATATTTAATAACACAAAAGTTTACAAAACATTTATTAAATTATCTCTTAATATTTTGTAGCGTAACCATTATTGCTAATTACAGCATGTAGGCATTTAGAGTAGTCCCCTATGAATTTCATGCACGTTTCTTGGTTAATATTTTCCCATTCTTCACAACAAAATTCCTTTAGTTCATGCAGGTTTTTCCGGGTTCCTTCTTTGAATAACTCAGTTTCAGCTCTCGCCATAAATTTTCAATTAGATTGAGATCTGGAGAATCACTTGGCCATTTTAGAATGTCTATTCTATTTGAACTTAACCATGATTTTTTAAGTTTTACAGTATGTTTAGGATCATTGCCTTGTTGAAAGACCCAACCTGGTTTCAAGCCAAGCAAATGTGCACTCTGATGTAAATTTCTCTCCAAAATATCCCTGTAATATGTTCCATTCATCCTCCCATCTATTATTTCAATGTCCCCTACACCTTGGGCACTAAAGCAACCCCAGATCATGATTGATCCACCTCCAAATTTTACTGTTGGGATAGTATTCTTCAGCGAATATTCAGTACTCTTCTTTCTCCAGACCTTTGCCACAGTATTTCTGCCAAAAAGACCAATTTTCGTTTTATCTGACCAAAGTACATTTTCCCAAAATGCTGCAGGTTTGATACAATGCTCGTTTGCAAAATCCAGTCTAGCAAGAACTTGTTTTTGCTTAAAAAGTGTTTTTTTTCCTTGGAGTCCTTGAAAGGATGTCATATCAACGAAGTGAATTGTATCCGTACTCACTTTTACTCCACTTACTTCTAGTTCTCCCTGAAATTCTTTAAATGTAACTCGGGGCTCACATTGCCAACTTTACTCACCAATAATCTTGATTTACGTTCCATTACCTTTCTAGGATGACCAGAGCTTTGGGGTGGGTGGGGGGGTGAATGGAATGACACGTCTTCCAGTGACAAACTATCGTACCAACTGAACTCAATGGCACATTTAACTGACTAGATATCTTCTTATAACCAAGTCCATTTGTATGAAGGTCAACAATATGTTCATGGAGGTCTTGATCAACTATTTTGCCATTTTCCCCATTTTGTCAATGTTTAAAGGATGGTTGATAGAAAAAGAATGATGCAATACTTTTAATTATTCCTAAAAGTAATCATAAAATTAATTTGGAATGTTCTAAAAAACAACTCCATCCTAATTTGGAACATTCTAGTAAAATGTGATTTTTTGCAATCTGTTGCAAACTTTTGCATGACACTGTAAATATCGGATGTATTTTATTTCCTTATTAATTTCATGCAATCTCTAAATTGTTTCATGATAAAAAACCCAGCCTCATATTTCTACTGACAGGAATTTATATTTCAGAGTGAGAGCAAATGTCAAATGGAATTTATTAACGGAATCTTGTGAAATGATTTTCTGTTTATAAAATTAATATAAGACACATAAGATGAAAACATTGGACAGATGTTATTTACCTGAGCAAATTGTGTCATGAGAGACTTGTACTGTTTGGAGGGAATGCCGTCACTAGTGAGGGACAAGAGACAAAGTAGACGGAGGGTCTGGATACAGTTGTACTTGAAACGATAAAACAACAAATGATAAAGTCACATGAAAAGAGGAAAAGTAATGTCATTGTCAATTTTCCATACTCTTTAGTAATGGACTTATTAAAATAAATCAATTAATGTTGTTTCAATACAGAACTACTTTAATTGTTGAAAATGCAGGGCTTCAAAATCTACAAGAATAGAAATCTCATCAAAAGCGTGTCGAGAAAAATTTGAAAAAGAAAGAAAAACTTCTTGCAAATGTTTCAATGTTTTTGTTTAAATCCTGATTTCAAGTTAAACTAAATAAGAATCATTTGTTATTATTCATTATATATTTATCTTTACAAATAAATCATCTACTTTATTTCCCTTTGTGTATCATCAGAGTCAAGGAGAATGCGAGAAGAAAATTTATTTTCTTGGACAATTTATTAACTAAATATGATTTAGAATCACATCATTTGTTTCAAATCAACAGGCAAACAAATTAAGAAAAAATATCTTGTCTTACTGATATAAAAAGATCTTACTTGTCTGTTAATGCATTCTTCAATAAATGCAGTGTTTTCTTTAGTGTCAATTCCTTCTAGAAGAGCTGAAATAGAATTAAAGCAACATGATTATTGAAGAGAACATGTTTAAAAAATAGACAAGTTATTCACTTACTCTAAAAATCATTCAATATATTTAATAACAAAAACACTGAGTATCTCAAGAAATTAAGAAATGTAAATCGTTTTTCATTAACATTTACAAACGTTTCAACTAATCAGCATTCCTCTTACACATCATTACAACTTGCAGACCAACAATTTCACATTCCATCAAACATACAATAAAACCATTAAGAGATTTAATACTAAAATATAACAATGAGACTGGCCAACAAAATTTAACTTTTTCTTTTCTGAAAACTTAAATCTGAGATTTAGGTTTTCATAATTTGATTTTATGAAGCAACTTATCAAAACTTCTTATCATAAAGTGTACCTACTTTATGTACACATGCAAACCCCATCCTAGCATGACAAAATAAAAACTGGTGCTTTTTGAAAGACCAAAATTTCACAAATTCAATAACTAAAAAGAAAAGAGAATCGGAATTGCTTGTGAAAATTGCAGATATAAGAAACTAAAAATAGATGGGAAAAATCTTACTATGTTCCACTTGGAGAATTTCTTCAAAACCACTTTTATTCTTTTTTTCCATTGCTACTTCACAAGCCCCAATATCTACAAAATTAACATCATATATAAAACATTTATCATCTTGTAAAATTACTTGTATTTTCTAATTTTGTAATTTACATGATCATTTTTTTTCAAAGCCCTTCCAATTTTTGAAGTAACTAAGGATTTTTAAATATTACTGAACATTAAATAAATTTAAATAAAAAATAGAGAGAACAAATAAATAATGATTTATTTTAGCTGCTATTATATTTTTTATATTCAGTGTCTTTAAGATCAAACATTGAAATTGAAATTTTTTCTTTCCAATAAATGTCTGCAAATTAGTAAAATTATCTTTACAAATTCCATCATAAATTTACATCCTTTCTAAAGCTTGATTCAGCCAACTTCAATATATTGTTACAATATACACAATGGGTGTGTAATTTTACACAGAATCTCATGTTAAAGACACAGCCATTATATAAAACAACCAAGGATGAAGATCACAAATAGCATGAAAATTTAAAATATTAAAAACATTGTCAAAGTAAAGTTTCATTATTTAAAAGTATATTTTTAGTGCATGCAGATCAACTAATTCTTCTATTCAGTCAAGTAAAGGAATTTTATTTTCCTTTTGACTTCTTTAAATTGCAGTCTAAAAAAACCCTTTCCCCACTTAAAACTTTTAATTCCAAATGAACATGGAAAAATTTCATCCCCAAAATGTCAGACTTGTTCAAAATACAATTTTAATACAGCTTGATCCAAAAGCTACTGAAATTCCATCTTCAACTCACGATATGCCAAGGTTTTGTGACGGTTCTTCAAGTCTCTTAATTCATTAGATACAAAGTTTTTCATGGCACCAACTGTGGTTAGAGAATGACGTTTCTGTCAAAAGAGAAAAACAAAATTAAATGAATTTTATGGAAATGAAAACCAACAACTTAATGAATAAGAAACACATCAATAAATAAATATACAGATGAAGTGATGTTAACACATTTATATGACAAGTTTGAATAAACATGAAGCCAATGTTATGACATTTACTCTTTTTTGAAAGCAAAATAGGAAGCCTAATTTTAAATCCAGTCCATATATTAATTGATAGATATTACAGATAATGTCAGCATTAACATTCTGAGAAACAGTAAAGAATAAGCAAATGGTGTTTCCATCTTTGGAACAAAAAGATTTGCTTATACTTTTCTCTCTTGCCTAATCATTTGGGTTGTTATAGACTTTGCATATCTACAAATTCTTCACTTTGCTGTAAAAAATCTTTCCCACAATAGAATTTGCAATTTTGCAATTACCATTAATGAATCTCAAGCATTTACCAATAGAAGACATTAATGCCATCAGTCTTTCTGAAACCATTTTACATGACATGATATATTTTAGACTTTTAATGAAGTTTTTGCCAATAGTTTATTGGTAACTTGTTATTTATTTGCAGAAAGCTGCTATATTCACTTCTACCCATTTATTGTCAGAGCCTCAGCCAGGTTTAGCACTGGTGACTGGAAGTGATGCAGTATGGCTGCCACACTCCTTACTGATCTAATTGCAGCAACAGTATGGAGTGGGCTGCCAAGTGCTTCTTTGATGAAAAATTCTTTTAATGTAAAGATTTTATAAATTTTAACCAACAGTAGCAGTCAATGAATGTCAAATGTTTCCACATAAATAAACGGTTTATATTACCATTACATAGCATATGTAATATTCCCACCCCACAACACTTATGAGTTTATCCTACTGACAGCCAGTATATCTTCACCCTACCATCTCAATAAATAACTTATTTGCAATCAAGTGAGAACGTCCATTCAACTACAGACTGATTAACATTTTAAGATTAAACTTTGTGTCAGACATTTTTTTGAAGTTGCCAAAATAGCTTTTAAAGACAAAAGCTCCAACAGTCATTGGTAGTTGGTGAATGTATTTTACTCATATTTATTAACCCCAAAAAGATGGAGTAAGAGGGAGTAGAATGAAAATGACTGCTAAAAATCACTCCTCCCCAAATTTATAGACAGATCTTATAGATGCATGCCGGGATTTCTTCTTAGCCAATAAAAATGGGTAATTTTCAGTCTTACCTACACATTGTTTCTTACTTTCCTTGAAGTCAGAAAGCTATAAACACTTGACTGTATCCCTTTTGCATGTGGACACTATTTCTATTTTGTGAACTTTTTACTTTCTTATCTATCTCATAGTTGCTTTGCCTTGTATTACATTGTCTTGTCTCATTTTGTCTTATTTTACCTTGTTTTATTTCCTCTTCTTATTCTTATTATGAATTTTGTCAATTCCACTTAACCCTTCCCACTTCTTCAACAGTTGGAACTGATAATAAAAAGCCTGCTCTGTTTCTTGGTAATTCATTTCTATAATGAGAGCAGCTTTGTTCACTTCTCTTTTTACCAGAAGAGCATTTGTTGTCTCTGTATCAACCAGACTTATCACCAGTGGCTAATAAATGGCACAATATCACCACCACAGAAACAATCATCTAGTAAGGTTAACATTTTCTAAACAATTATAGAAAAAACATGAGAGTTTACTTTTTTTTTTAAAATAATTACTCAATGTTCTTGAAATATTTTTTTTACATTTTAGAGCACTTGGAATTTAGTTTTTACCATTAAATTTTTACATCATCTTCCATTGGCTAAACCCTGACACTGACTTGATTACACAACATTCACACTTACATTTCATTTTACAGCATATATATTCTCTCTCTCCCTCACATTCACACACACACACACACACAAAAGAAAGAGAGAAAATAAGTCTCTACTAACATCATATCCAGTTTGAACTTCTTTTACTTTAGAACTGAGATATTCAAAAACTGTAGAAAAGTGTTTGTTCCTAATTTGGTCATAAATCTGAAAAATGAAAATTGAGAGACTTTAGTAAAAAAAAAAAAAAAAAAAAAAAAAAAAAACAAAGAGAAAATGTTTATAACAATTATGAATACATTAAATTTTCAAATAATTAAGAATTTCAAATAAAACAGATTTCAGTCAGTCAAGCTTTCATTCCAATATTATCCCAACCTCCAACAAAATAGGAAAGAAAACAGAAAAAAACATTCAAACAAAACAATCTAATCTGGTGCAAATGTTTCCACCATTATTAAGAACATTTTTATTGCATTGAATTCATCATGCTATTTTCGTTGGCTTTTAGCTCAACTGTGCAGTTCATCATCAAAGAACAGTGCTTGTTTTGATCTCATTAGATGTTGAATTTTTTGGAATTGTTGACCAAACAAGGAGGATTTTTCATGGAGAGAAACAAGTGATCACCTGGAGAAGCCAAGTTTGAAGAATATGATTTATGTCGAAGAAGTTCCCATTCTTTTATGATGCTTTCAGGCATTGTCATGCAGCAAAACCAGGTTCCAACAATTGGCAATAAAAGAATGCCCTTTAAATCCTGGTAAACATGGAAATCTCCACCCATTACCAAAGCCTGTCTTAAATCAAATCTACTATTTTCTTCATTTTGGATTCCTGTAATTGTTACGTTATAAACTGACTTTATATGTGTTCTTGAACAGTTATTTTTCTTTAGTTTTGTTAGAACTCTGCCAAGTGGGGGTGCTTTTTGTCACATATATCCAGGTTTCCAGAAGGCCATTTTTTTTATTTTGGTATTACTTCATGCATAAAATTGTGGTAAAAAAATGAGGTAAAAAGAACAAACAGATTTTTTTTGTCATTAATGTAAAAAGTAATAGTAACCAACTAGCAACATCATTGTTCAACAATTGTATGTGATTGGAGCCAAAAATTATGCAGTTATTTGAGTAGTAGATAATAAACTGAGTGAGAACAATATTTGAATAGCATATTCACTATCCCCAACTGATGAGCAATTTTTATTCTATTCTCTAGATAGAAAGGACAATGAAACTTTTAATCACTATGTTACTATGTGTAGAAAAATATCAGAGAAGTGTCATTTTGGAAATCATCTTGATTGAGATTGGCTAGTGATATGGAGAGAAATGAAAAAAATGTTCAGTAATAGTTGCTCATTGAGAGAAAATGAATATTACAGAAAGCTGTTGATACATCTGCAACAATTGAGTTAGCAGTAAAATTTTCCAAGAACATTCAAAGTGTGCATTGGCTGCCTAGGAATTAATCTGAGTCTTTTTTCATAGACTACCAGGGAAACATGAATGCTATGTCAGGACCCTTTTAAGAAAAAGGAGTGTTTCAGATGCAAACATATTGGGTATACTCATCAAAAGTGTAGGCAGGATGGAAGTAAACAATTTGGTAAAAAGGGGAAAGATTGTAGTGAATAACATTGATGTTTGATTGAATCAAAGCAAACAGATGATGGAAGTGCATACAGTTGGTGTGTTATGTTCACTGTCTGTCTGCAGGCTGAATTGTTTGGGAATACCTGGAAGGTGACGATCAAGGGAGATACAGAATTTTCATATTCATTGATGAAATTTAAGGAACTGGGTGATTTAAAAGATTTGCAAATGATGTCAGGTTGAAAATATGAAGCCATATGGCATAACTGATGTTGAGATGTTGTAGAAGAGAAGCAAGACACCTTTGCCAGCATTACTTGTTTAGTGTTAACTTCCCATATTGTTAGGTAAAAAATGATTGCAGTTAGATTAAAAAGCCATGTTAAGTTGATACTAAGCTGAAAGATGTTTAAAAATTTTGTAAAATCCATTCAATTGTACACTTAACATTTCCACCCTACCACCCAAGGTCAAATGTTGGCAAGATTTATTGATGTGTTTAAGTGAGCAATTAAAAAGGCAAGCAGAATTGAAACTGTGAATGAAGAATTACAAAATTTCTTGTCCATGCATCACGTAACACCTAATGTAAATGCAAGTTCAGGAATAGGCCCAGCCAAACTCATGTTTGCAAAAAAATTTTGTTCAGTATTTGATAAACTGAGACCTACAGAAAAGAAAATGGAAGAAAGAAAAAATACCAATGTTAAACACTACAACCCTGGCGAAAAAAATATATTTTAAGAATTGTAAATTGGGAAAAGCAAGATGGGAAGAAGGAACCACTGATAAAAGAATTGGCAAAATGTTGCACTTGATAAAACATCCAAAATGGGTGATTAAGAGACATTTAAATCAAATAAAAAAAAGATATATGGCAGACAGATCAACGCAAGGAGGAACCTATGATGTTGATTTATGATATGTTTGATGTATCTATGTCTCAACCAGTACAACAGAATCAATCAAGTGAGCGAAAACAAATTCCAATGGGTACTATGGAAATAGACCCTAAAAGACAGAAATATGTCTTCTAGGAGACATAAAATTTCCAAGGGGAGATGTTGTAGAGTAGCTAGCACTCCTTCAGCATTCTACCAGATGACCTGGCTCATAACCTTAAATAGTCTATGATTAAGGGCTTCAACAGTTGATTAATAAGTTGATAATAAGCTGATTAATATTTGAACTGATCTTACTTCGTTTGGCTATACAGCATTTGAACCTCCTATATTCCTTGTAAGTTGTCTTGTTAATTGTTTGTAACTTATTGTTCTGTGTTTTTTATATGTATCTGTTAGCATTGGATACTGGTGCTGAATAAATATATTAAGCACTCATTCTTCTCTGTGTATCATTCACATCAATGATACAACAGTTACATAACCAGATTCAAAAGTTCCTGACCTACCCAACTTTCTGCTCTGTAATACCATTTTTCTCCCAGTAAGTTGCAGACACCTGCTGTTTTCAGGCTGTGCCAAAAAAGTTCTAATTTAAGTTCTGAACTTTTCTTAAACATTTGTTCATGAAATATCCTCCTCTCTTTAGATTTTACAAACTCTTCCCAAAATACTGAATTTTTTATTAAATGCCATGTTGGGAAAAGTTTCCAAAATTTAACAGAGGAGGAGGATATTTCATGAACAAAGCTTCAGTGATTGCCTCTTGTACTTTTCTTCACATTTAACATAAAAGAAAGAAACAGCATCAAATGCACATTTTATATTCATCCATGATTCTCATCAAAATAAAATTATCACTTTTCCATAAACAATTTTCTATAGAGCTGATTGAACTTTAAAGACACTTCTAAAATATCTCTACAGTTATGCAAAAAATGGTACAGAAAATTTTTGCATCAACTAATATGATTTTTAGTCTTTTTCTATCATTTCTTACATGAATATGATTTAAAAACAAACATTCTAGACAACAGAAACATGTCTTATTATAAGGCAACAACTAAAAATTTAACATGACTTTAGCCTATGAATGATGCCAAAAAGCAACCATGGGAAAAAAAAAAGAAAATTTCTGAAAATGTACCTCATCTTGGTTTGATAACAACACACGAGTGGGTTGATCTTTCCCTGTTATTTCCTTGTTGAATTCCACATAACCTCAAAAAAAAAAAAAAAAAAAAAACAACAAGAAAATTTTAAAATCTGATACCAAAATACAAGCACTGACATGAAGATTTAACTGGAAGAGCTTTTTCAAATTTTTTCAAATGAAACTGACAGAAAATATGTAAAATATCTTTGAAAAATTGTAATGGAAGACATGTTTTTACTTATTATTGATTGCAGTGTTTTTCCATTCAATATCACAGTGTTAAATATTTAGTTAAAGGTTTTAAATGATGATAAATCTTTCATGAATAAATATGGCAACTATTGGCAGAATATAAGTATTTGAGTGGATCTGAACATTTCTTGACAACTGATCAAGAATGAAGTTAAACTGGTGTCTTTCAATGTCATAAATTAGCAAAGAGAAAAAAAGAGACAAAATCCTAAAATCAGGCAAAGATAATTAAGGGGAGTAAAATCTTAACAAGATCTAACTATAAATCTTTTGATAATACACAAAATAAATCATGTTTGGCGAAAGATACACTTATGGAAGATTATAAAAAGGGACAAAACTGTTTTAATTAAAGAATAAACATCAGATTAGATGTAAACAATAGTCAAATGCATGCAGTGATCATTAAAATACAAATTATAGAATTTTATAAACATTTATTTGAAGCTGGAGAATTTCAAATTTCCAATCAACGTGACAACTCTGAGAGAAAATCAAAAATAATTGACAGATTAAAAAGAAAAAGAAAATTACTTACCACTTTGAATTCCAAATGTATCATCCAAGATTCCTTCATAGGTCAACTGAGAGCAGAGAGGTGTAACAAAATCAACATCTGACAAGAAAAGAATATTTTTCATCATATTTAATGGCCTTTTGGCCATTTGGCCCTTTCTTCACATACAATTTGAATTTCTCTCATTTTTACTTGTTACTTTGGACAAGAACACATACACCCAACTAATGGAGCAGAGTCACTACTTTGTGTTTGTATCATTAGAATTTTTTTTAATATTTCTAAATAAAGGTTTTCTTACCTCGGTCAAGAATAATCAGCTTCCCTATTTCTAATTGTTCATTTTGTGAATCACTTTGGTATTCTGGCATTGATAACATCAATTCATGAACCATCTGTTGAAGAAAAAAAAAGATTTCAGGAACAACAAAGAAGAAAACTGAAGAATAGAAGTTTTCTTTTTATGCATGTTAATTCTTTGATGAAACAAAATGGGAAAATGGTGTATGGTAATATTAGCCGTTTCCTTACAAGGATTCATTACTGTTTTCAGTAGGAATTTATAAAATCTTTCTCTTTTTAGGAAAAGAGATTTCTCAAATTTAGTAGCTGTTACTGCTCTTTCCAGTACTGACAGGGACTTCCTTCCTAACCTTCTTGTTGGGGCTACCCACTCCTTAATTTCCTAATTTTTGGGGACACAATCCCAACACTATACATACTTGACGAGACCCTGCTTTGTCCTCTTTCACTTTTCATTTTCAGCAGACATTACAACAATGAAATCTTTCATGAAGATTTGCGTTTTCCCCTTTGTGGTGGGTGGGGTGCTATACATTTCCTTCAGGAAACATGCATAAACATTACACACACACACACGTACGTACAAACATTCACTTATACATACTTTGACCATAAACTTTCTACATTCATTCATACACACTAATTATCATCTATGTCAATTGTAACCCTTACTGTATGTTAATAAACATATACCTGTTTGTACATACATATATCAATCTTTGTTGTTTTTCTCACATTGCCTTTTACATTTCTGTTGCCAGGCTCATAATCTGGAAGAGTCCGCCATGTTTGTAGTGGGCCCCCTTTCAGATGCTTGTCTCACAACACATACAAATGACCTGCTACAGATTGGTGACACTGACATGAGTATTATTTTTCTCCTAACAGCATGAAACACACAAGACTATATATGTATAGACTGAAACACACCGTTTTCAAACTGAGAGGCCAATGAAGAAAAACATTGACAAAAACTTCTTTATACCCTACCAAGCACAGTGGACACTATAAACTATTAGCAAAAACAATTTACAACTACAAATTTTGTGGTTAATCCCTATGAATGTGCCAAAAATCACAAAATTTTAAATACTACAACATATATATGCAACACATGATGTTCTCCATCTCAGCAAATAGATTTTTTTTTTCTGGTAACAATAAAAAAAAAAAAAAAAAAAAAAAATCGCTATGTACCTTTCAATTACTGCTACATCGGTTCATTCACAAGGCAAACAATACACACTCCTTTTCCCTACTGTTCTTTTTTACTTGACCCTGCAGTACTTGCCGACATTTTGAGTCAATATATAGACTTTTCAGTTATTGGAAAATATTAATTCTGGCAATCAACATCATTACACTCAATTTGATTTCAACCGGCAGACATCTTTAAAAAAATTTTTTCTTTAACAAAACAAAAACACAACTTCTTTCAACTTTAATCAACACTGTTTCTTCTGGGCTCATCAATTGAAGTGTGACACATAGCTCCAAAGGTGATTCACTGTCTCTAATTATCACTTTTCAACAATGCAACACAAAGTATTTGCAAATTTGATATACAATCGACAAGAACAGTAAATTTTCTTTAAAGTTCTCAAACTTGAATTTGACACTCGATAGTAATTCTAATTCAGCTCATTAAATTTTGTATGCCAACTCCATGCACGGCAAACAAGCTCTTTCTCAAAACCCTTCCAACAGCAAGGATTCAATAATTGAATGAGAAAACCAATTCAAGATGAAGCAGTGGAAAAAGACAAAATTTTAATAGCCAACACAGAACAATTTTCACTACTGCCGCAGTTTTCAGAGCATGCTACATTCAACTAGAAAATAAGACAGCACCCTAATGACAGTCTAAATACAATTCATCGAATCACGCTTCCTACACATTTTATTTTTAACTTACAAAGACAGTAACAACACTTTCAAGAACTTTCCATATTTGTCAGAAAAAAACATTTTCTACCATCCAGTGGAAGAGTATTGTCGAAGTTACCTCTTTCTTAATTTTCTAATTTTTGAAACTGCTAATTGGGGATACTCTCTCCCAACACTATATATACTTAATGAGACCCTGCCTTGTCCTCTTTCACTTTTCGTTTTCAGCAGACATTGCAACAATGTAATCTCTCATGAAGATTTGCGTTTTTCTCTTTATGTGGAGGGTGCTATGTGTTTCCTTCAGGAAACATGCATGAACATTACACAAACATGTACATACAAACATTCACATTCACTTACACATATCTGACCACAAACTTTCTACATTAATTCATACACACTAATTATTGTCTATGTCATTTGTAACCTTTATTGTATGTTAATACACATATACCTGTTTGTACATATGTATACCGGCCTTTGTTGTTTTCTTCACATTTTTTCTTTTACATTTCTGTTGGTGGGCTCATACTCTGGGAGAGTCTGCCATGTTTGTAGTGGGCTATTTCAGGAGATGTATGTTTGTCTCACAACGCATACAACGGCCCACTACATTCTGTTTGAAGTAGTGTGAAATGTCAACATCTTGATTATGTCATTATTTTCTCTTTGAGTTACACATGCTATCCATTTTAGTTGTTGCTTCTGTTGGTAGTCCTCAAGTGATGCGGTTTCTGTCATTTGTTACAAGTCTTTGTTTGCAATTCTGTAGTGCCAGTGCACAATGTTCAAAGAAGGATGATCTTTGGCAAGACCCTCAACCATTACTTGCTCAAAGCATTTTTTTACTATTGATCTTAAGAAGCAGTGTTATACAGCTGACATTTTAGATATTTCTGGATGGGTTTGGCACCATGCATGACATCCATATGAAAGCCAAATAACCAGAATAGATAAACAGGAAAGTTAAAGAACCAATCATAATACTTGGATGATTCTCTAAACACATTGAAAATAAGTTGATATTAATGTAATATTAGATTTGTATAAGTTGGAAGTTAACAGTTATAAAGTTGATCATTGGATTTGATTTAATTTCAATCAAATTGTTTCTAATTAGTTATGAAGTCTGTCAACATGTCAAAAATAATTAAAATCAATTTCTTGAATGACATTAATGCTAAATTTTAGTAATATGAACACTAGTTTTCAAGTTGAGTTATTCTTTTTAACTAGAGATCATCATGAAACTATAAGATGACACCAGAATTCAAAATGCAATTGATCATTTTCATAAATGACAATATTCAAAAATATCGAATTGCCATAAAAAATTTCACAAGAAAAATCAAACCATAATTTATCCAAATTAGGATTTTGTAAATAAATAAGAACAAACTTCATTTAGTTTTAATATTTAGAGTAGCTAATATTTTAAGCTGAAACAAAAAAAAAAATAAATAAAATAAATGTATACCTTTGCTGCTCGGCCAATGCCACAGACAGTTGGGATTTGTCCAAAGACAGATTGGAAATGGGTCAGAGATTTTGCTACAGTGTTGAGCCAAATATAATCATTGTGCTGAAAAATAATAATTATACAAAAAGATAATTCATTCACATTGATGCAGAGTCATAACAAGTATAAGTGTAGAGAGATTTTATCAAATCTCGAATTTTCATCTAACTTAAAAGAATTGCATTATCCTATTTAAGCAATATCATCAAATTAGTTCAGCACCCAACAAAAGTACATTTCACTCAAAAATTCCATTGAGTTGTTTCTAATAATAAACCAGTTCTGTAATCTTTACACCAGTACAGGTTCATGTCAATAGCTTCAGCTTGGCTTTTAGTCTATCATATATTTGTATAATTTGCAATGATTGCACAATACAAAAATATTCACAAATAACTTCAATCTCCTTGCCAAGTATGTAATGTTTATAAAGCTACTACTTCAAGTGAGCAAGTTTGCTCAAATCCACTGAAATGTCTTATAAAGTTCAACTTAGAATAAAAGGTTTCATTCATTACTGCCTTTGCGATAAAATCTTTTCTCTATATTTACTCTAATTTAATATCACTTCCAGGAGGTAGTCTTTTTCAGTAAACCCGAAATTACTTATTCAATAATTTTCATTTATTCTGCATAATACCTACCAGATAAAATCTGGGCAAAAAGTCTGGTAATTCCAAAGACAAGACATCTCGATCTAATGGCACAAGATCAAGCATGAATTCTTCAATATTCACATAACCAAACACTCCTTCTTTTTCAAGAACAGATTCACAGGCATGAAGCTAAAATTAAATCAAATAAAAAAAAAAAAAGTGCAGCAATAAAAAAGAAAAGTTGCTGTAAAACATCAGCTTTCAATAAGAAATCAACATTAAAAACAACCAAGAAACAAATCTAGAAAATTTGATTTCACAAAAATGACTGATCAGAATAGAAATTTCAACCAACAAAATTGGAAATAAAGAATGACTATTCCTTATTCCTTAAATCTAGTTTCAATCATCTATATTTATGAAAATAACAAAATTTTATCAATTTAATGACATACATATTCATAGAAATCTTTAATAATACAACAGAAATTAAAATCTAAATGTAAAAAAAGAAAATCAAATTTTATTTGAAAGAAGAATTTTTTCTTAAATTCTTAGATGTCTTTTTAAAATTCTTTGGTTAAGTTTTTCCAAAGTTATTACAAAGGCATTATATGAAATATGGTGCATTTTAACTAAAAAGATTTTAAATTAAATGTTAAATTCTGCTTTTCAATCCACTGGAGAAGTTGCCACATTCACCAGAGGAAAATTGGAAAACTAAGTAACCAAAATATTGAGGAGAAAAAAAAATAATCTTAGAAAATGTAATAAAATTTAAATATGAACAAAATTTACTTTCAGAAGGCAAATTTTGTGTTTAAAAGCCAAAGTTGGCAAAAGTTATGGCGTCAGATTTCTTCAAAACCAATGCTGTTTTCCAAATACAAGAAAAAAAAAAACATTCTGACATTTTCATGTATAAAGTCATGAAAATTTCTGTTCACAATGATATTTTTTTCCCAAAAAGCTAAAACAGCAAAAATAAAAACAAAGTCACTCACCTTACGAGGAGTCAACAAAATCCGATAAGTTCTCCTCTCATTAAGCATTCGTTCGTGTTTTATTTGTTGCACAATGTGCCGAATTATTTCAATAATTGGACGTACCAGATACAATCGTCTATGGCGATATGGAAAATGGTAGCACAAGTAATTCACAGTATCTTTCAATATATACTTGAAATTTTGTTTATTTATTTAAGCATATATGAAACATTTAACAAATGGATAAATGATAAAATTCAGAATTGAAATAAAGAATAAACATAAAATCAATAGGAAAAAGCATTAGAAAATACTTAATTGAAATTCATACTGGCCTCCTTTAACTTTGGCTTTTTCTTAAAGAGATTCAGGATCCAATTGTTTTAAAAATGACATAAATTATACTAAATGGTTATAAAAATTAATTTTCTTGTCTATAAATCAATTTATAAACTGCAACTTGAAAAATATTTCATGTGCCAATATGAAAAATCAATGATTGTTTTACAAATCAAAAATGTGTTGAAATTTCTAACTATTTTGCAAATGGACATTTCAAGACATTTTTGTTTTGGTTCAAATTTTGGTAACCTTACAGGAGATAGGAAAAAAAACCTCTCTAATCCAGTGCTCTATGGGGACAGCAACTCCCTTAACCTGGCACATTCTGAATCTAATGTCATTTGATTCAAAGAATGTCACTTATGGACTTCACAGATACAACAGTAACTTAATTTTATGATTTTCTTCTCTTCTTGAGGAGTGGAGTCTTTTAATGGTTCTTAGAAGGGAATTTCTCCTGCATTCTAGTTTACTACACTCTTTTCTTAATGAATTTGTTTTCAAGTTCAAGTGTTTGCTTCTTCTAAATTTACTCCTCAAAAATATTGAGTTCAAATTACAAATAACATTGCATTGTCTTTCACAAGAAAAAATAAATTTTGCCTTCCAATTCATGGGCAACTATATTAAATGAACACAATGACATCATATTTACAGTGTGTCTACATTGTTCATGTTAACTGCCAATAGATTACAGTCTATGTCAAAATAATAGAACAAAGGTAATCAGGTTAAATTTTGTAGCAAGAATTGAACTAATTAGGAAGGTAAATTATTTTATGCAACCAACAAGATGTTCTTCACTGGAAGCTGAGAATTCAAGTGTTAAGTTTGTTTGTTAAGATTAATAACATTGAGGATCTTTATAGATCGACAACCATTTAAATAAAAAATTATTAAATATCATTTTAAATAGAAAAATTAGATATTTTTTCTCATTGTGACATTTCTCTTGATTGAAATCATTTATTTAAATATTCACCTAAAGTGCCATTAATGACTTTTATTATTTATTTATTTATTCAGTTGCCTTCCTCTGGTTAAAGTTGACTATTTTTTTTGATTTGTAATAATTTTCTTTATTGTTATGCACTCTCTTCTATTATGACACATTCTGTTATTTGATGCAGGATGATCACAAGCATCATGGCACACAAGACAGGAATTATACTTTGTAACTTTCTTGATTGAAGCCTTTGTTTCTTATTGAGATTGAGTTATTGTGCAATGTTCTTTGTTGAATAAAACCTAAAAAATAAATTGAGATTCTACTACAATTTATTCAACAAAAAATATAATTGACTTTGAAATGATAGTCAATTACTGTCAGACTGAAGCATTTTGCACAGATGCTTATTCTCCATCAAGGATTGATGAACAATGTTGGAGAATATTGATTTTTTTAGATGAACCAACTCAAAATTTACTAACAATCAAGTCTTGAGAATTGATGAAGACAATTTCTACATTTAAGATTTATAGTCAACACATACTAATTTCAATGGAAACCATTTAGAACATCTAATAAAGTTGCTTACTTTCCATGCATTATGGACAAATTCATTATCACCAACTCTCTAAGTTTGCTTAACTAAATGGCATAACCACATGGGAAAAGTAAGAAAGAACACAACAGGAGATTTACTGTGGCTGCCAAGAGATTTAGTTTTACTTACAATCATGATATGTGTACATTCTCTGTGACTTCATTGAACCTCCTGGATTGTACAATTTCTAAGAGTAAAATTAAGTCTGACTCCAAAAGACTTCATCCATTCAAAAAGTTCCTCTTTTTCAGGATATGAATTCACTATGTCATATACATATACATATATGTGTGTGTGTGTGTGTTCTCATTACCAATTACTCTGAGAAGATTGCTTGTCTCATACATTTAAGACATCTCCATAACCCAAAATAGATGATAAAAAGACACTGAAATACTTGAAAACCAAGAGAGAAAATATATTGATGAAGCAATTCCCTTTGTTGTAGACACAGTTGTATTTGTTGCTGTTAATATCAGTGCTACTTTAAATCAACCTGGTAGGCAAGTGATTTCCTTTTCAAAGGCATTAAATACAAGTGAATAAAAACACTTAGCAATAGAAAAGGAGCCATATTCTATAACAGAGACTCTGTACAAATGAAGACTTATCCTGGTGCTACTTTACCTTTCTTACATTAATGTTTGATTTTAAGAAGTTTTGTCAAATTTAAAATGATATAAATCATCAGAAATGGAGGACTGAGTTTGCTTGTTACAGTCATGACAAAGAACCAAAATTGGAGGAATAACATTATTAAAGATGCCTTGACTCAGGTATATTATTCTAATATTTCTACTGGTGTGTTAGTAAAATTGCACAAATCTCTTTGTCATCCACATGTTACAGGATTGCTACCCATTAATACAATAACAAACCTATCAGGATCTGGAGATCTAAAAAGAATTTTGACTTTGTATCCCATTTGTACTGATTGCATGTCATACAACATTTGATTATGGCAACAGTGTCATTTGAGAGAATCAGTATTTATTGTATAGACTTTTTGCCATCAATTGATGATTATTATATAATAGATGCATTATCTCATTTTCCATTCACTTTTGTTAGATGTGACAACTCAAACAGTGATCTAGTGCTTTTGCTAATTATTTGTTATTTTTAATATGTCTTCATTGACACAGAGAAACCTCATGTCATTGGCTGTAAGAAACGTTTTACATATGCCAGGAATTTCCACTAGCTGGACCACCCCTTATAAACTTCAAGCCAATGAGAAGTGTAGAATGGTATAATGGAATTATATGGCAGTAACCATTGCACTCACAATGCTTGTCTGACTTATTGTCAGCTTGTTCTATAGGAGGCATTGCATTTATACAGGCACATTGCAGCCAAATGTTATAAATACAACGCTACATGAATTACTTGTTCAATGTCAATCAACTTGTGAATGCTTTCGGTGTGATTATCTTCACTCAGAGCTGTCCTTTTGAATAATCATATCAAAGTACAAATTTAATTATTGAAATGAAATATGTTGAAGCAAATCCTCTTTATGCTTGATAAGTCAACTCCAAGACTTAGCCTCAACAGGTCATTTACAAAACGGGTTATCTAAAATTCAAAATCCACTCCTAATTCTTGACAATCTGAATACATCAGATAACAATATCTTTCATGTTGAAGGTTCCAACAAAAATCCAATTCAGAATGAAGCTGGACCTATTGATTCTGTGAGAGGAGTCATTGTTTCTTTGTGCAAGAGACACTCATTATTTGAATAACAAGTTTCCATTACTTATTCTGATCTAAGCAAAACTTATTATTTTACTGACATGTATTGTTCTATTTGATGTGTTCTTTTGCAGATACTAAACTGTGGCTTTATATTCCTTTTAATTTTATTTAACAGCGGGGAATGTGGGGATTTTGTTTATTATTTCTTATTATCTTGTTGAGAATCTTGAGATATATAGCTGGAGCACCAGACCAGACATGACAGCAATATAGACAAATGGTAGATAAATATGCAACATGGATTCTGATGAGAAAAATTATCCAGCACAAGTGAACCGACCATTTTAGCAGTAGACCTAGCAATTGATTCAATATAATCGCTTCACTTCATGTAAGTAAAAGACCAAGAAAGAACAATCAGTTACTCTCCTGGAGGTTATATGTGAACATTTTAAACATCTACTTGTAGTAAATTATAATAAAAAAAAAACAGTTTAAAACTATTTACTGGCTGCATCCTGGCAGTGATTTCTGCGTTGGGTCAATCTTGAAAATTTTGGCAACTCCATGTTCCTGGAAGAAAAAAAAAAAAGATTATTCTAAACAAACAGAATTTTGGTTATGTTCCTGGAAAAAGAAAAAAAAGGATTATTCTAAACAAATAAATAATTTAAGCGAAGTAATAGACAGAAGAACTGAGTTCTACTGTCATATGGACCTTAAAGTTTCTATTGTAGTGTTTTGACCTAAGCTACTGCTGTAGTATATGACCTACAGTTTGTTAATTTTGTACTGAGATTACCAATATGTTTTAAGAACTACATCACTGAAAAATACAGAGATGTATAGGAATCAAAAGAAGATAAAGACTGAAGTTATAAGAAAGAAACTAAAATCAAAACATGACAAGAACTGAATATCTATTAAATAAGAGAGTGTGCTGATGTGGGTGAGGCAGTGTGGGTGTAGGAATTGGCAGTAAAGCAGATTAATTATTGAGGTGTAAGAATATTCTTGCCTTTCATGACCACATTTGATGGAAAAAGTTGGCTTCTCATAGATAATCTGGATTACAGCAGATTATTTAGAAATAATAACCTTACCAGATAATTCTTTGGCAAGAAGATTAACATTTGGCATGAAACAGATGTTTCAATGCTGTACAGGATTTTTGGCAAAGGCATCTCAGTTTCCACAGATAATGATACAGATGAATAAATCAGAATTTGTTATACTTTTTAGTAACTGAATTAAAAACTTTGACTATTGTGTTGCAATTAATAAAGCTTTTTATTCCACTTTGCAAGTGAATAGTGTGACTGTTTGCTGTTTCCACTTTTCTAACATACCAATAAACTATTTTATGACAGTTGGAAACTATAACAAGTCTTTGGAACTAGTTTGCATCACAGAAACTAATTAGACTTTTTTTGAAAACTAGATTTTAATCTTTTGTACCTTTCAGATAATGTAAAATCTGTTTGGCCTAGCCAATAGTATTTTTTGACCAGGTACTAACACAACTTTGTTACAATGTAACACAAATCTAGTAGAACTGCCATCATAATGTAAATTAAACTTCCAACTATTTTTGTGCAACATGTTAACAATTATTATCAATTAACACAACATCTTATTTATATTCATTTCACACCAAATTTATATTTTCTAGATAGGTTCATTCTAATTATATCACTTTTATATACAAATTAGGTACCAAGGAATCAAACATTTTCATTTTGAACTCAGAACTCAAGTGTTTCTTCATAACTGGTTCATTTGTTTTTTTTTATTGTCTTAATTATATGATTAAAATATACATAGTGGAAGTGAAAGGCAAGATGAACTGCCAACTACCTTTGACGAGGCTGCCCGTCCCCGTCAATAAAATAGACAACACTTGGTGTGCTGCGTATGCAGGAGAGGTTGGCCAGTGTAAACTTGAAAATGTCTGCTTGCAAAAAATATGGTCATGGTGGTGGGTTGGGCAGTGCCTAGAATTTGCTTATGCAAATAATTCATGTTGTGCATAGTGAGATTACCAATGTCTCTGGGCTCAAAATAAACAGACAGATTTTCTGTTTAGAGAATGAGTCACCAGCTGTATAACTATTGTATGGAATGTCATGATTCTGATTTCCTTTTTTGTTCATCTTTGCTTTCTGTGTCCTGGTTACAGTGGCCTAAGAAAAATTTTAGCCAGGAGAAATAAACTACACTCAATTTCAAAATTTAATTACGTAATCCCTATTCAACATAAACAAACAGTATTTGGAACTAGTATGGAGAAACTAACAATCAGAAAATGATTGGAAAATATGTTAGTTCTTTGATTTTTAATTTTATCAAATGTGAATACAAGAAAGAACCATATTTCTTAACAATCAATGAGAAAAACGTAGATTCATTACATGAACAGCATACTTAAAAAGGAAAGCCATTCAACACAAACCTTTAAAACAGTTGCTCCAATAATCCGATCCAATGGCTTCATAAGTTCTTTGTCAAAAACCAAATCTTTCTGACCAGGAATCTGTCAATCATGAAAAAAAATAAACTGGGATGATTAATAAAAAAAAAATCCTTGTGCTGAATTTTAAGAAGAATCATGCCCCCTCCCAACATATGCCAAAAATATTCAACATATCTGAAAATCTGAAAAAAAAAAAAAAAAGAAATGATGTGTTAAAAATATTTTGAAAATTATTCTCACAGGACAAATTACAAATTGATGGTTAGAATAAATATTTTCAAATAAATAATGAAGATTTGTTTTATGGACAATTTTTAACTTTTTTTTCTTTTTTTTTTAAATTAAGCAGATACTCAAGATGATGTGGCTTTGAAAATAAAATAGAAAAATAATGATTGTTAAAAAATAAAAGATTTTTCAGCTTTAAAAAAATGGCAAATTTTGATAGTTCAATCGTCGAGTCAATTTTGAAATTAAAAACAAAACCCAAATGAAATAATTCAATCATACAAACTGCTTCGACTGATAATTGTGTCATTTTTTTTTATTTGGGACAAAAATAAAACGGATTATTTCAATCTGGGGAAAAATATTTTCAATTGATGAAATTATGATAAAAAAAAAAAAATGAATTAACTGAAAAATCTGCTTAAAAATGAGAAAAATATACAACAAGTATAAACAAAGACTTTGTTGCCATGTTTATTAATAATTTTTTTTTAACCGATTTATTTCGATTTACTAAAAAAAAGAAAAGGTTCAACACAAATAGCCAACTTTTTTTTTCTTAATCTTGGATTGATTCATTGAGAGAAGACTAAAAATGTGGGTGGTGCCAGGAAGTCATTCAATTTCTTCAAACATGTCATCTATGTATCATTCATTTGTCGATTATGTCAAATGCGTGAACGGATATAAAAAAGACTGGAATTAAAAACTGAATTATAATGGCAAGGGATAATATTTTTTTTAAATACAATGGCAGAAGAAAATAATTATACCGTCTTACAGTTACGCAATTGTTTTTATAAGTATTGTAGTCATAAGAGAATATAATCGAAGGAAGTATACAAGTCTTAAGAAAGTATATAAAAGACTTAAACTAGAAATAGATATAGTTGATGCTTTTTAAAACTCACGGACTCAAGTTGATAAACAAGTCGGTCTTTAATGAATTGTCGGAGAATGCTAACGTCTGGAAAGCGACTCTTAACTTCTGACGCCATCTTTCTTCCTTCATGTTGTCAAAAGTAAACACGCTGTCTGAATTATCTCCCCTTCCATTGTAGATAAACAAGTAAAAAAATGATTTACTCTAAAAAGCAAAACTACTACTCTTAAAACATATTATCTATCTATCTATCTATATATATATATATATATATATATATACATACTCTGTTTTAAGAGTAGTACTTTTTTTTGTTTTTAGAGTAAATCATATATATATATATATATATATGTATATATATATATTCATACATGTTTCATTAAATAATATAGACAAGTGTTGTCTATTTATTTTATGTAAATTCTTTTCATAACGTCTGATAAGCTTAATAAAGTAACATTATCATTAAACGAAGAATGAAAATCACAATATTGATACATTTTTTTAAAATCCAATCTAAGCTTTCAGCTTACCTAAGCCATTATCAAAGATGACCATTACAGTACAATATATTAAGCAATACACGGACAAGAATGTGATGATAGTCTGTTTCTGTTTACATGGATGATTTCCAAGCAACAATAAACACGTGCATATAAGACGCTGGAAGCAAAAATCACACCGCAGCTCATGACGTTACACATGACCACGCGAGAGTGAAAGCGAGAAGTATTAAGTATAGGAAGTCGTTGGTATAAACCAATGGCTTCTGTTACCAATTATAGACATTTAAGAATATTTGTGGAGATTTCATAGTTTATTTTGTTCAGGTTAGGTTTCAACTGTTTTATGTATATAGCTTCAAGAATTTTCAGTTTTTGTTTATTGTTTTCATGTTTAAGTATAATTGTGTTTTCAAGAAGGATTTTACAGAATTGTGTATGTGGCCAGTCATGTTGTTTTAAATGCCTAAAAATGTTAGAGTTTTCATTCAAATGTAGTGTCAAGCGTTGTGAAAGCAAGTTTGTGGTGTGACCAACATAAATATTATTTAATTCATTGGAGATACAATCTCCCAAAGGGCACTTGAATTTGTAAACTATGCTGGTTTTTTGCAAATCGCTAACAGGGAGAGAAGAATCGTTGCGAATAATTTGGTTTGATATACTAGATTTAGTGTAGTATATGATTAACTTAATTTTTTTGCTAGGATCTGTTATAGATATATTAGTATTTACTAATTTTTTTAGCATATTTTCATCTTGTTTACATTTAGTATGCATTTGATTACGATATAGGAGATTAATGTTTGAGATTAGTAGAAGTAGTATTATGTACTATTTGCTTAGTATTGAGATTTCTAAGAAAGTATCTTATTTGTTCATCAACTATATAGTTTGGAAAGCTATTATTAATAAGTGTTTGTTTTATATTCTTTAGTTCACTGTAAAAAATATAAATATAAATATAAAAGTGAACATTGAAGTCAACGCTCAGAGGTGACAGGCTGTTTACATCTGCTCTATCTCTGATATTGAGCACTTTATTCCATAAATATAGCACACTCTAAAACTATATTTCTTCATATATATATATATATATATATATATATATATATATATATATATATCAAATCCTTTTATTTATTAGCTGAATGAAATTTCACATTTTATACATACACTGGGCTAAATAAACTAAAAGTTTTCTTAGAATAAATAATGATAATCCTAATTAGTAGAAAACGTCATCATTAGTGAGCCTTGATTAAAAGAAGAAGTGACATTTAGCTGCATATATCTTTCAAACAAATATTTCCCTCATTAAGTTAAAGTACACTTAGTGAGAATCATGCTCACTATGTGAGCTAATGGTCTGCAACAGTAGTTTTCTGTCAATCATCCTATAAAAGAGAATGTCAACAGAAACATTTGAATCTTAAGAAATATTGGGACTATCAACTAATATGATTTAACTGTAAGATCTTAAAGTTTTGAAAACAATGATAAAAAGTTATTTTCTGGATTATATTACATCACATTTCAGACACATATTACATTCTAAAGAATGTTTCACAAGAACTTATTCAATTGGTAAATGCATACATTATGTTTACCATTATCTTGCAAGATAAACAGATGCTTACTTCTACTATTATATTACATTAAACCTAAGTTAGTTCCCAGTATAAAACTATTTGTATGTAAAACATTTGTTTAACAATAATCATTTTAGCTTGTGTCAGCTAACTTCAATTAATTAATTTATATTGACTATATAAAAATAAACTGAATTATGTTTATAGCTTTATTACTATAACAGAAAAATGCAGCATTGTAGCAAGATTTTTGTTTGGGCAAATACCATTATAAATAAACCAATTTTTATTTTAATTTGCAAATTAATAATGTGGACTTAGCATTCACACTCTGATAATAAATTTTCTTTTTCTTGTGTTTGTTTGTGTGTTTGCTGCAAAAACTGAAAAAAATACATCATTAAAATTACGCATTAAAAGTGGAAAATTGAAAATGTTATTAATTGCTTCATAAAATTATAATAGCCATGAAAAAAATTGCACATTCATTTTATATTATTGCAATATTTTTATATGGAAATAACTTTTTGCAAGATATATCATTATTGCTTGAATATTTCTACAAAAATTATTCATCTTTCCATTTCTTTTTCATCATGAACATTTCCATTACAAAAAAAAACATTTTTTTAAATGGTAAACTGTTATGAAGTGTGATTTCCTTCATATTTTATCAGTACAGTGGTAATCATTTATCTCACATAACCTAAAACTATGTATTTTTCAGTGAACTCAAGTTGCTACTAAATGTGACACATCACTTTAAAGCATGTTTAATGGCAAAACCACAGAAAAATTCTCAAACCCTCTTGGCACCTCCCCATTTTGGAGACACCTCAATCACTGGCCAATAAACCCATCCCTCTCCCAAAGAAGAGGTAATGCTTAGGCAGATGGCCCTCTAGGGCTTGAGTGAATATTATTGGCACAGGAGTGAACCCTGCTCTGCTGGTCAACATGCAATACTTGCATACTGAAATCGGCTCTACCCTTACTGCTTGTGCATTATATAGTCTCACTGCCTTAGATATTCTAATTAGGCAGTTATTTATATATCACTACATAAACATTTAAACAATATCATTTAATACTAGACTCCTTCTTATTAGGGATTAGCAGAAATAAAAGCAACTTTAAATTTTAAATGTAAGCTGGTGTTTGCTTAAGAATCAAGCTGATATGAAATTCCAAAGTGAACACCAACCTTCAGAAGTGTGTGGTCTTTAAAAAGAGTTATTTTCTCTTAGTTCAATGCTTTTTTTAAAATTTAAATTAAAATGTAAATTCCATAAATTGGAAGAGACTGGACTTTGAACTTAATGGCTGCCTTCAGTGGCATATAAATGGATATAAATAATAAACAAAATATTTAAATAAATTGAATTCTATGTGAGAATCAATATATTAAAGCTATAAATTAATATTTCATAAAATCTGTAACATCAAGGAATAAACACACATAAATTTATTTTATATAACTTTATAATGTGAAAATTAAACAGAAATTTATACATATAAATAAATAATTTATACTTATATACAAAGTGTGATGCATAAATTTTCACCATTTTATGTTTTTAATTTTGCACATGGGCACTGTTTTTGATTTTGTCAACTGCACACTATAATAGAGTCAGCTGGGCACTGTCTGTGAGAAAAAGTGTATCATGATGCAATTCACTCTGTCAGAAATACGGAAATGTCATGTGTACTGCTTGGCATTCACAATGGAAGCTCCATTACAAACATTTCAGAGTGTTTAGGTGTCAATCTGAGGGTAGTGCAGAGAGTTCAGAAAGAGTTGGATGAGTTTAATGGTACGGCAGTTCGAGAAACTCACTCTGATCATTCTAATAAAAAAATAACTCCTGAATTTGTTGGTGAGGGCCTCAGACTCAATTTTAAATAAGAATATCCTTAAGTAGGGCAGTAATGACACTAAAATACAAATGGTTACAGAGTTTGGAAGAATCAGGAACAGAAATATTAAGGATGAGCAGAAAGAGAAGATAGTAATCAGGTGGACAATAAATAGCAATTGACATTGCATTTAAATTTTTGCAGATTTAAGTTGGCTGGAAAGCAATGAGCCAGAAGGAAGTCCACAAGTGAGAAGTGCAAGAGAAGAAACTGTTAACATAGAATTTACAGCTACATGTAACCAGTTCAACAGTAAATTGATGAGATATCAATGCCAGTCTAGTGCTGTGCTTAAATTCAAAAATTCTGGTACTATAGCAAAGAACTCATTCAAACAATTACTATGAAAGTATTTATAGAAATGACATAGAGAGGCAATCTTATGAAAATGTTTGTGTAATTTAGACGACAATTTATCAATCGCACCCTGTATACCATTAACTATGAATGGAATCTTCTATTTGGAAGATGAGGTGTTCTGTTTCTGACCAGTAATAAAGTGATGATATATATCAAATTGCAAACACTATTAGTCAAAGCCAGTAATATCAGTTAATTAATTTATTTTGGGGCATTTAAAAACATTAACAATCAATTTCACTGCTAAGTGTTCCGGGATTTATATATATAAGTCATATTTTTTAATTCAACTCTAAAAGTAGTCCTTGTCATAACATATTAATGGACTATTACAAACTCAATGCATTCATCTATAGCAAACAGGTACTACAAGATTGTAACTGATGAGGTTACTGTTGGTCACCAGTTTGTAGGAAGAGAAGTTATGAATTGTTACAGCTGTAGCTTGTTGTGTTGTTTTAGCAGCATATAAACCTCTATGTGTTATTTAATGCTAAAATCTAGATACTTCATAGACAGTTTTCCGGGGGGTGGATAATACTGGTTTTATTGAAAGAAGTCTTACTAATTAACCCATAGCTGGGGGGAAAGGTAGATTCATACCTTTCCCAAGAGTATTTGCATGTAAGTGAAACCGATTAACAATTTGAAGCCATTATCCATTACACCACCTGCATATTCAAGCTTATAGCATCTGGGATTTCAAAGTAGTCAGCCATCTAGATACTGACCAGCTGACC